TTAATTATAAAAACTTTGATACATACTAGTAATTATGTTTGGTAAAAACCGGCTGAAAATTTGCATAAAGAAATATAACTTCATAATTTTATAAGGTATTATAAGATAAATATTATAAGATATAATTCAATAAATCAACTTGTTTGCATTTTCAATTTCGTTTATTAAGATTCAATAATTTTTATTTACATATGTAAAAAATGCAAAATTAAAATTTTATTGTTGCAGAATCCATTTAAACTATCCCTCCTACGGATAGTCGGCACGCTTCTATCCTGAGAATTTAGTACAGAGATGAACCACATTTCAACGATACGATTTTATTGATAGTATCAGAAAATGTATGTAGTTACGTAGTTCCCTGGAAATGAATACTGGCGGTAATGTACGGGCGATTCCGACGGTAACAGGAAAAAGATCGGGATGATCTCTTTCAAGTTTCTCTCTGTCTAAACATAAATAAAATAAACTTTTAAATATACATATATATGTACATGAAAATATTTTTATAAATTTTTATAAATTTTGTTAAAATTTATTTAGATTCTATTAAATTTTATCGTAATTTATTATAATTCTATTTAAAAAATTTAATAATAATGTTTTTAATTAAAACTATTAAATTAAAACTATTAAAATTACTTAAAATTATTTTTTATTATTTCGCTGAATGTTATTCGATAATCTCCGGAAAATAGGCATATGAAGATTATCATTCTAATTTTAATCTATTTTAAATAGTCTTATAAATATTGCAGATTTGTTGTTTTCATAAAATTGTATTATATAATAAAAAAAACAGATACAGAGAAGATGTAATTCCTAACAAACAGGTTGAAGAGGTAATTCTTTAATTTTTTGTTACGTTGAATATAATCGTATTCTACTACAGTTCATTTCTGAACTCTATTTATAAAACCGAATTTTTCAATTTTTTTATTTTGAATTAATGAGGATAAATAATAACATAAAAGACTTTTTTTCCAAAATTATATTTTAAAATGCATCTACATAATACTTTATAAAATATATATTTGCACTTATATTTTCCATTCACAGTTTTTTAATATAATATGTTTTACTTAAAACACATTTATATTTTATGCATTACAACAAGTGTAATTCTAATAATAATGATGCATCGGTGATTTATTTCTTTCTGACAATTATAAAAGCTAATAAAACTGTACAATTTTCATTATAAATTTGTAACATGTATAGAAAATATTAAAATTACCTTGTTACTAACGACAAAATCGCAATTTACATATTATAAATATAGTACATAAATACACCTAAACAATTTCGAATTTACTCGAACTAAAAACATTGTATACTTTTTTTGATACTGACGTATTTTTAAAAGAATGCTTTTCTTACAAAAAGTATTAAGTCTTCTTAAAAAGAATATATAAACCATATTAAATTTTTATAAAATTTTTATTAACAAAAATTTTTCGTATCATTTCAATTTTTCGTAATTTATGTTTTTTTTTAAATATTTTTCTTTGAAGTGCATAACAAATTAATTAAATTATGTATCAATTTGGACGCGAATGAACGTATTGAATAAATAAAGGGTCTTTCGGTTTATTTTTTCTCCTCATCTTTATTCTCTGTCGAACTAGTTGTCTCATTATCTGTTTGTCTCTGTTCAGGGTGTAAGTATTGTGTGAAATGGAGAATGGACACTACGCTGGATATGTACGTCGCTACATCCTCCTTTTTTATTGTTTTCAATTGAGCGGCAACCGAATGATAAACGCGATTAGCAGTTTTCGTTGAGAGTTGCCCAATCGTTTGCACTGCATGAAGAACTTTGTTCTCATCCGCGGAGATGGGGTCTGTAATAACGTTGTTATGACCATTAAAATAATGTCGGTTAATTAATAAATACAATGCTGATAAATTTATAAAGTTTTGGAGAACATACGTGGTGCATTCTCTTCTCCTTCCACCGGTGGGAAATAATGATCCAATAAACGATTGACAAGTGTACTGGTGTTGTCAACGCCTTGTACAGCCATGTTACCATATTGTGTATTTAGAAGTTCATTCGCTTTAGTTATACTGATCTCTTTTAACGTAGATGCTTGCTGCGTAGCTGATTCTTTTGCTGTATTAAGTTTTTCGATGGTCGGCTGTAGAGAGCTGCTCATAACCGCTTTGGCGGCGTCGTATATCTGTAAATGCCAGAAAGCCATTTATTAATCAACAAGTAGTACATGAGTCAGATTGTTTTATATAAATTATATGTATTATAATTATTTATTGCATTATAATAATAAATTATAATTGTAATGTAAATTATAATTATTTATTTATTATTATTTTATTAACTTTTTTTTTTTAAAGAAAAAGTTAAGATACAAACAATAAAATCAAATTTTTTAGTCAGAAAATTTTTTAAATTAACATCAGAAAAAAAATTTTTAGGATTAAAAGAACATGTAGGATTGGAAGGAAATATTTCTCAGGAAAACGGAATTATTCCGTTTTCCTAGAAAATAAAATAGAAATTTAGTTTAATTGAACAATTCCGATCAGAATCGTTTCCGAACAATTTCATAATACGTGCTCAGATTTTTGTGTAGCTATCCTACTGTTCTGAGGAGATCATTGCCCTACTGAAAAGAGACAGGTTTTCTTTAGCGTTACCTGTTGAGGCGGTTTCTTTACAATCGGAACTTTTTGTTCGACTATGTTCAATCCTTCGCATAGTTTCTGGTCAACAGCATTGATTTGTCCTTCGAATTTCTTGGCCAAGGGTGCAGCAAGCGGCGCAGCCGTGGCGGTCGCATAATGCAGCCCTGCTTCGGCTTGATTCAACGCCCAATTTACCAAATGATGAGAATCTTTAACACAAGAATAAGTAGCTCCCGTCTTTTCGATCGCTGAATGGACTACCGGAATGTTTTTCACTCTGTCCAACACCTCAAGACGAGGACCATCGGAGGAATTTGGTGTTGTTTTAGCGGCATCTGCCATTCTTTCTGCAAAAATCGAAGTAAATTAGAAATTGGCATTTATATCGATTATTATATATCGAAAATGGCATGTATCAAATTTAAAAAAACTTCTTTGTCAAGAGAAAATATTTGTATTAAAATATACTCAAATCAAATATATACATATATATATATATATATTAA